ACGAGTAATAGAGACTATTGACAGAAAATAAAAGTTATGCAACATTTACACTGTAAAATCCAAGTGTGTTAAAGTACACGTTCAAAGCGTTTAATCGAAATTTCCGTTTTTATAAAATACTTTATAGTAGTCTTGATAAACGTACCAAGAAAAATCAAATTGATGCTTCGTAAATTATTGCACCTACTCTATCAAACTAAAATATTTTTTTTCGTTAACGATTGATATAAGACGGCTACAGATAGTAAAACATTTCTATCATAGATTTTACACACTTCTGAGCGTGTAAAATCTATGACAGCCAAGTTTTTCAACTCCACAGCTTTCCTACATTGATTTTTCTCATTAAAAATTGTCCAATTTATTGGAACTGATTAACCACTTAATAAACTATATCTTTGGTTGTCCTTAAAGTTATCATCCACGCCACCACAATGTGTTTTATAAAAAACAAAAATTTTAACTTCACACTTTAAACGTGTATTTTAACACGCTTGGATTTACAGTACATGTTGACAATAGTTTTGCCAATTTTAAAAAGGTTAAAGTACAGTATGCGCTCTATTGTAATCACGAGAAAAGAGTATTTGTATGTGTTTCATTAAACCCACTTTTTTTGTAAGGGAGTCTAATGTGCCTGAAACGTCCTTTATTTTCAATACTCAACTAAGGTACCAGATAAAATTTTATAAGAAATAAATCACGAAATAAAAAAAAACAGTTTAAGTATTTGGATGACTTATATTAAATTTACAATACTACAACACTTGCGTATTATTAGTCTTGAAAATAAATATTCTGGAAACGTATGACCTTTTTTTTTAATTTCTTCGTGAATTCCAATCTTTTGAAGCTCACGTAGCTTCGTGAATAATTATCTACAAAATTCCTAATAAAAAATGATTTCTCGTATTTACATGTTGTGGTGGATAAATAATATTTTTCGCAAGCAGTGACGAATTAGCTTAATTAATTTACATATATTTATACGTACAAATAAACTTTTTCTACTGTTCTACGTAACGAAATTCATTCACGAGAAGAAAATTATTAAAAAAATTAAATAAATTCATAGTAAAATCCATACATTTGGTAAAAGCTCAGAACTAAAAACAGTAATTTAGACAACTCATTTTTTACTAATAGAGAAAATCTAGTTTCACAAAATTAGCAGAAACCAAGGTAGAACCATCAATCATAGACATAATTATACATATGCAGATACAAATACTCCATTATTTTTTGAATCTTTATTTCATACAATCCATACAGCAAATTAATTTTCCGTTTAACAAAAACGCTCGGGATTCCTCGTTGAAAATACTGGTACAACGATTTATTAAAATTTTATTTAAGTTTGCGAAAAAAAAAAGGAAAAAACTATACAGTACATTCCTAATGAAAATAACAATACAGTGTTTTATAAATAAAACAAAAATACCAAAAATTGCTTCGATATTAGCCATAAAAAATTTTCGTGACTCCAAGTGTAAGCAGCTGAAAAATCTTCATTAGCCCAGTAGAACGTAAGATCAAAGCGTGAAATGCTCAACACGTGTCAAAAGCAAACATACCGAAGAGTTTACTCTTATCTTATTGCTCATCATCCCTACTATTGCTCATCAAATAAATATTTTGCAGACGATACTCAATTACATTTGCCGTCTTTTTGATCCACTACGTGTGCCCCTTGCAATCGTTCGTAGTGGCAAAATAGACGCTCTCGTTGGTTTACGTATCAGAATAGTACACGTAAATAAAGTGTGCCTCCATCACGGTTAAAACAACCGACTTCCGGTGAATGCTCTTGTTCAATAAATTATGTACTCACCGTAATAAAATCTGATGGATTTAATAAATCAGTCATTTTTGTCAAAAAAAGTTCTTGTGAAGTTAATTAAAAAAATCTTGCCTCCGTTAAAAAACAGGATTTACACAGTCAAGTGGATGCATACAATAAAAGTAACTAAAATAATTGAGCGTTTCAATGAAAACAATTGGTCATAGAATCTTTATTGACGGTGGATGAAGAAAAAAAAAAAAAATAAAAACCCATACCATAAGAAAGCGTACAAAAATCACGAGAAATAGTATTAACTTATGTTTCACGATAATGGGATCAGAATGGATAAATGAAAATACTCCTCAAAAATAAATACTTGCAAAAACACCAAACGGTTGGCTAAACTTTGTTAATCAAAAGTCTCAAAAAAATTATACTGCTTAATGCAAAAATTGTGTACAGGAACTGTTAAATAAGTAGATGGTACTCAAAAGGTATAACGTATATGTTCAAATGGTACAGATATCACAAACAATTATTTTAATGTCAGATTCTAAAAGATCTTTCAAATCGATTTAGTATAATATGTCTAGCAGTAAAATAATGTGTTTTCCAACGCCCCACACCAAGTAAGCTCAAAATTTAATTGAAATTCGTACTCAGCCGATGACCTATAAATGTGTATGTGTGAAAAGAGCAAAAAATGAAAGGAAAAGGAAACTTTTTTTGTTCTCGATCGTTACTTCAACTCATCAGTGTAACGAGTTAACGATCTGAGCCTCAGACGAACACTCGTACGCTTTTTCACAATGAGTTGCAAGATTTGTATAGCGTGACGAAGAATATCTTAGTCATGTGCGTATTTTATTTCAAAATGAGTTGAAATAACGTGTCTCAACCTGCATGTCACAGTAATTTTCGATAATTTTTATACGAGCCATATCAGTTACAAACGTATTAAAAATAAGTGCCGGAAAGAAAAAGAGAGAGAGAGAGAGAGAGAGAGAGAGAGAGAGCACGCGCTAGCTGTTGACACTACTATCAGTAATGGTTATTTTTGTACCTGGTAACTCATGTTACACTATAGGTGCGAACAGAATTTTTTTACTAAGAGCGCAGTAAAAGTCCAAAATAAAAAAAAAGAAAAAAAAAAAAAGAAAGAAACCGCCTAAAGTAGGAAAACACATTTTTTTTCTTTTTTCTATTTGTTCTTTTCTATGCACTCCGAAATTTCATAAGTCAGCGAACAAGTACGAATTTGAATGAAATACTAAGCCTGCTTTATATAGAGTTTTGTATTAAGATATCGAGTCATCTTATGATAAAAAAAAAAAAAAAAAATAGTAAGCAACCTTATAACGATTGTAAAAAAATTAAATTAAATTTACTTGTAATATCAAACAATTGTAGTGCCAAAAATACTTACCAGTTACGTCAGTTGCAAGTACCCTTAACATAAGTATACCTTTTAATCATCATTTTACATAGTGTACAGGAAAAATAAAGGGGATGAAAAAAAAAATTTTCCGGGTGGCTGTACGTATTAACGATCGATCGATCATAAAAGAGCTGATGACAGGGTTTTATGCTTTGATAAATGATGCGTGTATATAATTGAGGCTACAAAATAAAAGAGTGAACATTTGAAGTGTCTGCAGAGAGCAACGAATAAATAATTAATAAGGTAAAGTAAATCCATATGTTTTTTATCAACTTTGGCAACTGTATTGAAATCACGCTTGTATTGTAAATGAAACTGAAAAAAACTACTATGAGTAATGTTTCAAACTTTGAATAGTTTTTAAAGGTTTATAAAAAGTTTTGGTAAAAATTTTTGTGAGCTTAAAAACCTTAAAAATACTTCAATGCCACTATTTTTTTTTACTCTTCTTTCGTAATTGTTACACATTTCAAAAAGTGCCTTTTCAGAGACTACGCAGTTTTCTTTAACTCTGGAAAATACCGTTATCTTCATTATGAATATTTGAGAAATTACTTTTCCAATGAATTGAAGTTTTGCTGAAGGACCCAATTTTGAAATTTTTACAAAATATAGATAAACAAAGTGAAAAATTAGTTGTGTTAAGCCTATAGCGACCCCGGGCGCCTCAGGGCACTCTGCTGTTGAAAAGTATACATGCATATAAAAGAAAATCATAGCTAAATATATATATATACATTTTAACAGTACGAAAGTTCCCCTGAGCGTTCCAAGTCGCTATAGGCCATGAACAATTACTATCAGACAATATTAATCGCTTTACAGGAGAGACTTATATTTCTTGTAATTATAAAAATGCAGTCATACGTGAATCATCTTGTAGAGTGAAATTAATTTTATACTATTGTTAAATAATTATGGTGTATAATATAAATTCAAGTAAATATTAATAGTAAATTAAAAAATTACTAATGAATTAGGAAAGGACTTAAATAAACGAACACAAGAAGAATATTAATGATATGACCAATGTTTTGCAAGCCCAAGGTTTTACCAACCCATTCGTGCAACTTTATTCATCATAAAACACGTACAAGATCGTACAAATAAATAATCTTATTACAACTTTAACAACATTAAATTCGATACGAAATTAAATTAAAATTATATCGTCACAAGTATCTTTCTTTTTGCATCTTTCTTTGTATGTACCGTGAGTTGAAGTTTATAATATTATTTTTTACAAACTATAATATCCCAATCAAAACCGTATCTTATAAACATATTATTAAGTATAACTTGAAAAATATTACAAATTTTCTTAAAAATATTGTTACTAACACGAAAAAGGGGTGTACGTTTATTCATCGCGGGATAACTACGTCCATTAGGTGTCAAGTACTATATTGAAAAATTTATAATCTGATTTATTCCAGCTTTAGTATGTTTAATAATAAATGAGGTTACTTAAACTATTTCTATAAAATTTCTACTTTACAACTTTCTTATTACTTTCATGAAAGCAATTTTGTGCCAAACGAATGGAGCAAGCCACTCAATTATATGTACAATGTTAATTAAAAATAATATAATTTGCGTGAACTAAAAGTATTAGTGTATTATTTTTATAGTTTATTCTACCATGTATGAGAAATAAGCATAATACTAGGTAAACTTTACGAATAATTTTAACATAAATCTATACTGTAAATTCACTGATCTACAAAGTAGCTGTAAGCTTGATTGATTATGTAAGATGCCTTAACATATTTAACCCTAAAAGAATTTACTTTGAAAAGTACTGGAAAATGAAGGCAACACTAAACTTATACCTGGTGAATTTTCCGTGTGACTTTGCCTTATAAGCGATGATTTGTTTTTTAAATACTGTTTCAAGTCATGAGACTTTCCACCTGTGTAAGTCCACTCGAGCGTAGAAAAATTTGATTCTTGAGTAAAACGTGTCAAACAGTGTTCGCAGCTGTAGGGCTTATCACACAAATGAGTCTGTTCGTGCACTTTGAGACTGAATTGCTGGTTAAAACTTTTCGAACGGTATTTGCAGCTGTAGGGCCTATCACCCGAATGAAACTGCTCGTGCCTCGTAAGATTAGATTTTTTAGTAAAACTTTTTGGACAGTGTTTGCAACTGTAGGGCCTATCACCTGTATGAGTCCGCTCGTGCACTTTGAGACTGAATTTCCGACTAAAACTTTTTAAACATTGCTTGCAGCTGTAGGGTTTATCACCCGAATGAGTTTGCTCGTGTTTTGTGAGATTGGATTTATCAGCAAAACTTTTTGAACAGTGTTTGCAGCTGAAGGGCTTATCACTAGAGTGAGTTCGCTCGTGCCGCATAAGATGCGATTTCTGAACAAAACTTTGTGAACAGTGTTTGCAACTGTAGGGCCTATCACCTGTATGAGTCCGCTCGTGTTTTGTGAGATTGGATTTATCAGCAAAACTTTTTGAACAGTGTTTGCAGCTGAAGGGCTTATCACTAGAGTGAGTTCGCTCGTGCCGCATAAGATGCGATTTCTGAACAAAACTTTGTGAACAGTGTTTGCAACTGTAGGGCCTATCACCTGTATGAGTCCGCTCGTGTTTTGTGAGATTGGATTTATCAGCAAAACTTTTTGAACAGTGTTTGCAGCTGAAGGGCTTATCACTAGAGTGAGTTCGCTCGTGCCGCATAAGATGCGATTTCTGAACAAAACTTTGTGAACAGTGTTTGCAACTGTAGGGCCTATCACCTGTATGAGTCCGCTCGTGTTTTGTGAGATTGGATTTATCAGCAAAACTTTTTGAACAGTGTTTGCAGCTGAAGGGCTTATCACTAGAGTGAGTTCGCTCGTGCCGCATAAGATGCGATTTCTGAACAAAACTTTGTGAACAGTGTTTGCAACTGTAGGGCCTATCACCTGTATGAGTCCGCTCGTGTTTTGTGAGATTGGATTTATCAGCAAAACTTTTTGAACAGTGTTTGCAGCTGAAGGGCTTATCACTAGAGTGAGTTCGCTCGTGCCGCATAAGATGCGATTTCTGAACAAAACTTTGTGAACAGTGTTTGCAACTGTAGGGCCTATCACCTGTATGAGTCCGCTCGTGTTTTGTGAGATTGGATTTATCAGCAAAACTTTTTGAACAGTGTTTGCAGCTGAAGGGCTTATCACTAGAGTGAGTTCGCTCGTGCCGCATAAGATGCGATTTCTGAACAAAACTTTGTGAACAGTGTTTGCAACTGTAGGGCCTATCACCTGTATGAGTCCGCTCGTGTTTTGTGAGATTGGATTTATCAGCAAAACTTTTTGAACAGTGTTTGCAGCTGAAGGGCTTATCACTAGAGTGAGTTCGCTCGTGCCGCATAAGATGCGATTTCTGAACAAAACTTTGTGAACAGTGTTTGCAACTGTAGGGCCTATCACCTGTATGAGTCCGCTCGTGTTTTGTGAGATTGGATTTATCAGCAAAACTTTTTGAACAGTGTTTGCAGCTGAAGGGCTTATCACTAGAGTGAGTTCGCTCGTGCCGCATAAGATGCGATTTCTGAACAAAACTTTGTGAACAGTGTTTGCAACTGTAGGGCCTATCACCTGTATGAGTCCGCTCGTGTTTTGTGAGATTGGATTTATCAGCAAAACTTTTTGAACAGTGTTTGCAGCTGAAGGGCTTATCACTAGAGTGAGTTCGCTCGTGCCGCATAAGATGCGATTTCTGAACAAAACTTTGTGAACAGTGTTTGCAACTGTAGGGCCTATCACCTGTATGAGTCCGCTCGTGTTTTGTGAGATTGGATTTATCAGCAAAACTTTTTGAACAGTGTTTGCAGCTGAAGGGCTTATCACTAGAGTGAGTTCGCTCGTGCCGCATAAGATGCGATTTCTGAACAAAACTTTGTGAACAGTGTTTGCAACTGTAGGGCCTATCACCTGTATGAGTCCGCTCGTGTTTTGTGAGATTGGATTTATCAGCAAAACTTTTTGAACAGTGTTTGCAGCTGAAGGGCTTATCACTAGAGTGAGTTCGCTCGTGCCGCATAAGATGCGATTTCTGAACAAAACTTTGTGAACAGTGTTTGCAACTGTAGGGCCTATCACCTGTATGAGTCCGCTCGTGTTTTGTGAGATTGGATTTATCAGCAAAACTTTTTGAACAGTGTTTGCAGCTGAAGGGCTTATCACTAGAGTGATTTCGCTCGTGCCGCATGAGATGCGATTTCTGAACAAAACTTTGTGAACAGTGTTTGCAGCTGTAGGGCTTCTCACCCGAATGAGTCCGCTCGTGCACTTTGAGACTGAATTTTCGACTAAAACTTTTTAAACATTGCTTGCAGCTGAAGGGCTTATCACTAGAGTGAGTTCGCTCGTGCCGCATAAGATTCCATTTCTGAACAAAACTTTGTGAACAGTGTTTGCAACTGTAGGGCCTATCACCTGTATGAGTCCGCTCGTGTTTTGTGAGATTGGATTTATCAGCAAAACTTTTTGAACAGTGTTTGCAGCTGAAGGGCTTATCACTAGAGTGAGTTCGCTCGTGCCGCATAAGATGCGATTTCTGAACAAAACTTTTTGAACAGTATTTACAGCTGTAGGGCTTCTCACCCGAATGAGTTTGCTCGTGTTTTGTGAGATTGGATTTATCAGCAAAACTTTTTGAACAGTGTTTGCAGCTGAAGGGCTTATCACTAGAGTGAGTTCGCTCGTGCCGCATAAGATGCGATTTCTGAACAAAACTTTTTGAACAGTATTTACAGCTGTAGGGCTTCTCACCCGAATGAGTTTGCTCGTGTTTTGTGAGATTGGATTTATCAGCAAAACTTTTTGAACAGTGTTTGCAGCTGAAGGGCTTATCACTAGAGTGAGTTCGCTCGTGCCGCATAAGATGCGATTTCTGAACAAAACTTTTTGAACAGTATTTACAGCTGTAGGGCTTCTCACCCGAATGAGTTTGCTCGTGTTTTGTGAGATTGGATTTATCAGCAAAACTTTTTGAACAGTGTTTGCAGCTGAAGGGCTTATCACTAGAGTGAGTTCGCTCGTGCCGCATAAGATGCGATTTCTGAACAAAACTTTTTGAACAGTATTTACAGCTGTAGGGCTTCTCACCCGAATGAGTTTGCTCGTGTTTTGTGAGATTGGATTTATCAGCAAAACTTTTTGAACATTGTTTGCAGCTGTAGGGCTTCTCACCCGAATGAGTCTGCTCGTGCACTTTGAGACTGAATTGCCGATTAAAACTTTTTGAACAGTATTTACAGCTGTAGGGCTTTTCACCCGAATGAGTCTGCTCGTGCACTTTGAGACTGAATTGCCGATTAAAACTTTCTGAACAGTGTTTACAGCTGTAGGGCTTATCACCTGTATAAATACATTTGTGCACTACTAAGTAGTTTTCAGTGATAAAATCTTTGTTACATACTTTGCAAATATAGGACTTATCTTCTGTATGGATACGTTCATTCTTCTTGAGAGCATCATTAGTTTGGCAAGTTTTACTGCATACTTCACCAAAATTATAAGTGCTACTTTCGGCCATATTCGTGAAAAGTGCGTCACAGGAGATAACACGAGCTGAAAATGATTTGATCAAGTAAGTAGTTGTTGATGGTTGTTCATGTGGTGATGTTTTTGCTCTGACTTTATAACAATGGCTCTTTGGTTGTAATTTGTTACTCTGGTCAAGTTAGTATAAAATTTTTACTATTTCGTCAAGGAAATGTACGTTGACCTTGTTACTTAATTGATATAAAATAATTAGTTATACCATATTATTACATCTTCAATGAAAAAATTTGAAGAAAGTAAGTTAACTTGGAATGATTGATTATTTAATTAATTAAAGGACTGGTTTGAATATAATGGCGGATACTTGACCAGTGCCTTTGAATGAATGCAATAATCGACAATATCTAATTGAAACAATTAAATTAACTTTTAAATCCATTGCCTACTGACAAGAAATTAAAGCAGGAAAGTCATTTGTTTTGTCCTCGTTTGTAAATCCACGAACTTTTTGGAATTTTTATGTTGTGGGTTGGAAAATATCATAGATTAAATCACACATGGGTCATAGGTATGAATTAGAATATACGTTTCCGGCGCTGCTTGTCGTTTCAAATGCACATGTAAATATTCAAGTAAATGTGAGATAATCTTTTCCATCCCCAAGCTGTTAAGATTTTAAACATCAAATACGATTGAATGTTCGGGCTTATAAAAAAAGGTTTTTTTAGCGGTCATGGTAGCACAGTGGTTTAGGCTGCGGTTCTTGTAGCTCGGGGGTTTGGTAACACATGCTCACGAGCTCGAGACCCGGCCTTTACTCACTTGGCTCGCATCTCTGGGAATCTTATTTCTTAAGTGCGTATTTGTAACTGTGGTCCAATGGTTTGGAAGCCATGTAAAATATCGGTCCCAATTACTGTGTAAGTGATTGATATCACAATTAAATCTGAGGCGGTTTTTCAATATGCCAATGAAGATAAGCATATACATGCATAGTAACACAATAATGCAGAGCCAAATAGGACCTGTATGGGAATCTCAAATGGCTGTAAAAAAAAAGAAAAAAAAAAAAAGGTATTTTTAGTTCTGAAACTAAAACTTACCTTCAGTTTCTAGATTTCTCATCATAGAATAAAGGAGTTGTATCGTCGAAGTTATTGTTACACTCTTTTTTCCAGAAATTCATTATGCTTCCGAAGATTTGCAGGGTTACAAATACTTTCTCGAATACAAAGGAAAATTTGAAACTCACTTTGAAATTCTCTGTTAACACTACTATAAATAAATAAATAAATATTTTGCGTATGTTGATTGGGTGTATTTATAAAACTTTACTATGATGGTAATTAATACAGTGTTAAAACAATTTTCGGCAACACAAAGGAGAAACTGCGACCCGTACTATTAAACAGTTGTATCCGTTATGAAAAGCAAGTACATTCAAGTATAAAACACCGTTATTCAAAACGTCACACATTTTTAATGACGAAATAGATATCGTTAATGATATTGTTACGTACGGAAGATATTGGTAAGGAGGTGCGTCGCGAGAATGATCAGTATAATATATTTTCTTAAACACTTTTATTCGAAATACCCATCTATAAGGCAAAGTCGCGCGTGTGGTTCCGTTCTAGGCTCGTTGTGTCCTTCTGTAGTTATTGCTCGGCGTCTTGATTCGATAACGCTCGAGTCCCTTGGTAATGCCCGACCCTCTTGATAGCGATCGTCTTCCGAAGGCCGAGAGCGTGAATTAATTCCCGAATGCGCGAATGCCCGACTGTCGCGATTTGAGGCTCGCTGGACTTTGTATTACCTTGTTCCCCACCTGTGGATGGCTTCTTGCTAAAGTAGCCTTGCTGTTACTAGAGAGAGTCATCATGATATGCCTTGCATATCGTACGTTACAATATAAAGTTGTGATATGTATTTTTTGTGTTCGTGGATTGAGACATCATGTCAGATAATTAACGTCTTATCTTGACCAATACCTGAAAAAAATTATTTATTACTTTTGATAAAAGTGAATAACCTTTTTTTAATTTGTTATAATAATATATATTGTTGCCTGACAATTAAACTCCAATAAATTATACACGTGTCCTTTGACGAAACATAACGGAAACAGCTAAAATAGTCTTCGTTATTAACTCAACAGGAACTATTTGAAGTTTGTTTTTACAGGAACTTGTTCCCAAGCCTCGTAGCTGCGTTTCTGGTGGAGGTTTTTCTTCATGGGTGAGGTTTGACCACACCTATGAGTCGTTTCCGGTCCCCTATGGGAAAATGTAGGACTGCTAGGGGGAGGGTACGGTAGTAAGAGGTTGAAATAACTGCCATAATAAAATCTCAGTTATGATAGCCTGGAAGGCTAAGAATATTTAAACACGACGAAAACAGAGGTTTTCGATTTTTAGAGTACAAAGTTTGGTATTCTACGGTTACCTTTGGGCAAACAAAAGGTGTTAATCTTTATAAAATACACATAGATTTATCTACCTCTTTGTGTTAACGAGAAACTAATAACAGCTGATGTAAGTGAGTTTTCTTGCAATAGCGCCAACATGTAATATTCAAGTTCAACGTCCAGTTTAAAAAATGTTTGAATTTCAGGAACTTCATTTTTTTACATGCTTTGTCCTTAGGACAACAATTTTTTCCTTCCAGAAAAGGAAACAAAAAAATTTTCAATACGCCAAAAAATATTTTACATTCAAGCAGTTATACCTTACATGCATAAGTTTAATTTACTAAATTTTTTTTACGAAATAATTTTTACAATATATTAGCTACATTCATTATTAAAAGCTCCTAATGCAACGTTACAAAATATACAGTCACTGCTTTTCGTACAATCCCATTTATTTTTTAATTCATTCAATTTAAAAATAATTTATTTTTCCACAAATGTATCCACTTATCAGCAAATTGTTCATGTAAAGAAAATAATAGTCTCAAAGGTGAGTCTATGCTAAGACTCTTTACTAGATGGCTTGAAAGTTGATGAAATATTCATAGCGCGATTAATTGTTAATAAAAAAAGAAAAAAAAAAAAAAAAATCGGTTAGTTATAATAGGACGACTAAGCGACTACTTTTTTTGACCTGCGTATACACACACACACGCATGTTTGTACTGCAGAGAAAAAGAGAAAAAGAGAGAGAGAGAGACGAAAAATCTGTACACATCCACTCTGGCAAAATGAGAGGCGAACGAGTGAGCGAGAGAGAGAGACCGGTATGGCGATCCGAGCGAGCGCACACCTGTCGTCTGGTACACAAGTATAATGTAGCGCTTGTAAGAAGAGCGAGAATGAAAGCCGAAGGCTAAATATAGGAGCTGCCCGACGATGGTGCAGAACTACTTACTTAGATGGCTGCTGGATATATTTTTTTCTCGAGACCGGCACGTGGAGGTTGTTAGGCTGGGAGAGAAGGGGTGATATGATAAGGGAGATGAGGTTCTGGCCGAGTTGGAGAAGTTTCGTCCCCGGGTATTGGTATACTTACGGAAGGGCTTTTTGGAAAATAAATTTTTGGTGATTATTTGGAGTTGATCGGGGTCGTCCGAAGCTTTTTTTAGTGGGTTTTTCATGTGGAATATAAAAATTAATCAAGGCTGGATCAAGGGATGCTGAGATAATTTTTTTCGGCACTTGGCGATCAGCACGATTGGTTAAGTGCAAGATATTCGTTGTTTTCTATTGCTGTTAAACAAAAACGTTTCAATTGTTTTGAAAAATTACATTTTTTAAGGGTCTCACATAGAATTAAATTTTAGTTACATGATCATAATAAAGAAAGTATTGTAATAGTTTCGTTTAAATATTTACCACTATTTTTAACAAACAAATCGTTTGCGATATTTTATAGCTAACTAATGGTTGTAAAAGTTAACTTGAATAAAAAATATCAGGTATAATATAACAAAAGTTATTTTTCTTCGAAAAAGTTGCCTTTAATTTTTCAGTTCAATACTTTTGTTGTCATTTTCGGTAATTTAATACGAAGAACGGAAAAAAAACTTGAAGCTTTTATTGAAAAAATTATTTCACCTCTGTAGTCGATTGCTCGAAGTCATGATAAATTATGGATTTTAACGAGACCTTGAAAACACTATAGTTGTTTAGTTATTTCTAAACTGGGGTAGCCCACAATATCTGTTGATTGACATGTTACATATATTTAAAAAAAAAAGATTTTTTTTCAATTAGCTTAAAAACAGTT